GAGAACCCTGGGCCTTTGCCCTTTCCGGGAAAAAATAGAAAAATCGTCCCAAAACTATGTTTGACTATCTATGAATAATCCTCCTGTAGGGGGGCGTGCCCGACTGAAAATCAAGCTAGATGCTCATTCTGGGGACATTCTGGGAGACACTCGCTCCACTCGTGCGTCGAAGCTGCGTCGAACGTCCGTCGATTCGAGTCGAACCTGAGTCGAACCTGAGTCGAACTTGAGTCCAACTTGAGTCGAGCTTAAGTCGAGTTTGAGTCGAACTGGGGTCGGACAGATCAGTCAGGTGGGCCCCGGGAAGGTCCCGAAAACGAGCATCTCATAAATCAGGGGGCACCCCATCCAGAGCTGGGGTTGTTCTTCTCCCTCGTGCCAGCTGCTTATGTCTGGCGGCCTGGGCATCGGATCGGATCGGATCGGATCGCCTGTGCGGGCATGCGCCCGGGCCCCTGAAGGGCGAGGCGGGTGAGGCCATGGCCTCGCATGAGAGGCAGAGCGCGTCGGAGGCTTGCTCGGAGCTCGGCGTCGCATGGCGGCCTGGGCATCACAACAACGGAGGTGGCCAGGTGTCGGGCTCGCCGAAGAGAGGGGGGGGCCAGGAAGCCGGGTCGCAGACCTTCGCACATAGGCCCACGCGGCGCGGGGCGCGCGATGATCTTCGGCGCGCACGCGCCCTCGCGCCGCCCCTCCTCGAGGAGGGCGGTCGTTCCGGCCCAGACCGCAACGCGCGAAGCGCGATCATCTTCGCGCCCTCGCGGGTGACCTCGGGATCCCAGGCAGAGGGGGGTGAGCGCATCGGGGCAGGGAACGCGTCACGAGAAAAAACAGGAGGGCGCAGAATCTGCGACGCGTCGCGGCACGGGCCGTGACGTCCGCATCCCCTCTGTACGGGCCTCCTAGATGGGGTCGGAGTAGAGTGGGTCAGAGGATCGCACCGCATCGCCGATATATCGGTGCTGCATCGGCGATGCATCGGCGATGCACCGGCGATGCACTGGCGACATCGCCGATGCACCTCCGATGTCGGTGTGGAGAGAGTCGGTCTCCACATCGAGCCGCATCGGGCGATGCGGCTCGATCCTCCGACCCCATCTGCTCGGACCCCATCTGGGAGGCCTAGATTTCGGGCGCCCACGAAGATGGTGCTCGCCGTGTTGTGCCTCTGGGGGCCGCTGCCGGGGCACGAGCTGGTTTCGCTGGCGCTGGTTTCGCCGGCGCTGGTTTCGCCCCGCTGGTTTCACCGACGGCTGGTTTCGCAGGCGGCTGGTTTCGCCGGCGCTGGTTTCGCCCCGCTGGTTTCGCCCAGCTGGTTTCGCAGGCGGCTGGTTTCGCCCGCGCTGGTTTCGCCGGCGCTGGCTTCGCCGACGCCGTCGTCGCCGCGGGCGGGCGGACCCTAGCGGGCGGGTCGGGTCGGGTCGGGCGGGCGGACCCTGACGGGCGGGTCGGGTCGGGCGGGAGGGACATTGAAGTGCAGGGCGCGCTCGACCGAGCACGGGCGAACCCTAACGGGCGGGTCGGGTCGGGCGGCCGGGCGGGTCGGTCGAGTCGGGAGGGCGGACCCTGACGGGCGGGTCGGCTCGGGCGGGCGGGACATTAACAAAGTGTGGGGCGCGCTCGACCGAAGCACGCGCAAACACTTACGGGCGGGTTGGATCGGACGGGAGGACCCTAACGGGCGGGACGGGTCGGGTCGGGTCGGGCGGGCCCTAACGGGCGGGTCGGGTCGGGCGAGCGGGACATAAAAGTGTGGGGCGCACTCGATCGAGCACGCGCGAGCCCTAACGGCCGGGTCGTGTCGTTCGGACCCTAGCGGGCGGGTCGGGTCGGGTCGGGCGGGCGGACCCTGACGGGCGGGTCGGGTCGGGCGGGCGGAACAGTAAAGTGCGGGGCGCGCTCGACCGAGCACGCGCGAACCCTAACGGGCGGGTCAGGTCGGGCAGTTTGGCCGACGGCAGCTGGTCTCGCCGACGGCAGCTGGTCTCGCCGACGGCAGCTGGTCTCGCCGACGGAGCTGGCTTCGCTGGGCGAAACCAGCCGTCGGCGAAACCAGCGGCCGCCGCTGCCGGCACTTCCGACGTCGTGGCCGCCTCCACCTCTGCCAGCTTTTGTTCTCTGATGGGCGTCGTCCTGGGCGCCATCTTCGGGCCCCGGGGCCGTTTCAAGAAACGACCCGAGGGAGGGCGCACCGCGTGGCGCAAAGTGCCGAGGCCGCGACGCCCGGGTTGAGGTCGGGCATGTCACCCGACAGGCGGCTTCTGGACGAAAAGAGAAACATACGAAAAAATACGCCACAAATGCCCAGCAAGAAAAAGGGGCTCCTCCCCAGACTCTATTGATTTGCTGCTGTTTTGGGATGCTCCTCCTGGTAGAGGGACAGGCCCGATGTGAGCCTGGGTCCCCCAGGTCACCCGCGAGGGCGCGCAGAGAAGCGCGCGTCGCGCGCCGCGGTCTGGGCGCCGGAGAGCGCTCCCGCCCTCCTCCAGGGAGGGGCGGCGCGAGGGCCGCGAGAGCGCCGCAGGACCAGCGCGCGCCGCGCGCCGCGTGGGGCGGCGTGGGGGGCCATCAGGAAACGACCCGAGGAGGGGGGGAGGGGAGCCAAGAGGTACCTGGCGGCGCGCAGAAGGGGGTAGGGGGAGGGGGGAAGGCTTCTTAGAAGCACCCCTGCTTCTTAGAAGGCGCGGGCCTTCTCTCTACAGGCGTAAGGCCGAGGCCTTCTAAGAAGCAGGGGTGCTTCTAAGAAGCCTTCCCCCCTCCCCCTACCCCCTTTTGCGCGCCGCCACGTACCGTGCCCCCTGCTCCCCGGGCCTGGCCTGGGGCGCGCTCTGACGAGGACTTCGAGGCGAATCCGGCGGTGGCGACGGGGACCGCCCCCAGGAGGCCCGAAAAGGCGAGAAAGCGAGGGGAGGGCAGAGGCATGGGTACCTCTTCCTCCCCCGAAGGGAGGGGGGGAACTCGTGCCCGGGGAGGGGTCGAGAGGTCTGGTTGATCCGGGCCTGTGGACCCAGACCCCCGATCGTCGTGATTTTCTCGCGACGTCGACCCCCAGAGGCCTGGACCCCTTCCCCGGGACCGGCTCCTCCTCCTGCTTCGTTCTGTTGGCGGCCCCGAGGCCCGGAGAGGGGGCCCCCGGAGGCCGTCACTGGCGAAAAAAAACTCCCGCCGTGCTTTTCTTTTCGCAGCGCGAGGGGGCCTGGGGAGGAGGAGGAGGAGGAGGAGGAGGAGGAGGAGGAGGAGGAGGAGGAGGAGGAGGAGGAGGAGGAGGGAGGAGGAGGAGGAGGAGGAGGAGGAGGAGGAGGAGGAGGAGGAGGAGGAGGGGGGGAGGCCGCTCCCTTGGCGGGCGGCCCCTGCCTCGCCAGGCCCACGGCGCGCGGGCCCGGCGGGCGCCCCTGCGGCGTGCGTGCGTCCGCCGGCGCGCCCCTCGCCTGGGACGCGCGGCTGCTCGCCCGCTCGCGGGCCGGCGTCGTGCCCCCTGTCAAGGGGCCCGAGGACACACAGATAAATAGACACCAATGACAGGATTCCCCACATGCTCCCAGATGTTCTGGGCTTCTGAATTCCCCCCACTTCCCATATTCTCCCTGGGGAGTCGGCGATTCATTGTGTCTGTGTGTGTTTTTTGTTCCCTCCGGAGTCTTGCCCCTGGACCGTCGGAGCAGCTCTTCCAGGGCAAAGCAAGCAAGCCCAGGGGTGCCAGGAGGGCGAGGGGCCCCGAGGCCGGCGTGCCATTCAGCCTCGAACTTATCCCTATCCCTAAGGTTGACACGCCAAAAGGCGATGACAGTCTTAGGGATGCGTCCTCAAAAAATAAGGGAACCCCTAAGACTGGCATCGTGATGAGGAGATGCCCAGCATAGGGTTAAGTCGGGCCTGTCCCCCTACAGGGGGATTATCGACGAAACATGAAAAAAAAAAAAAAAAAAAAAAAAAAAAAAAATGTCCAAAAATAGTATGGGGCCTTTTTTCTTGTATTTGTTTACCTTTCTGGGGTATGTTTGGGGTATTTTTCATTTTTCGTTAAAAATCCCCTGTGTAGGGGGACACGCCCGACATAGACATAAATTGTTGGTGCTCCCCGCGGACTTCTCGGATCTGCGCTTGACCCCCCTCCCCTGGCGCGCGGAGCGCGCCAGGGCCGGCGCCAGAGGCGCCGCCGGGAGGACCCGGCGCGGATCCAAGAAATCCGCGCGGGGCGCTAAAAGTTATCGTTCTATGCCGATGCCTCCTCTTCGAGGTCCATCCGCAGTTGCTAGGAGGACGCCAAGGATGCACCTGCGCCGATCCTGGCCAGGCTCACCCTGGGTCCAGGATCGGTGCACGAGCAGACAAGCCCAGGGATGGCATCAGGGAATGGGGCCCTGAGGCAGTCCGCGCGATGCCCAGGCCCTGGGGGGGGGGGCGCCCGTGCCTCGAAGGAGCCGAGCTGCCGGAAGCTTGCGGTGTGGCGTGGGAATGGAGAGCGGGCCCCGCGCGGCGGGCCGGGACGGGGGCGGGGGGGAAGGGGGTCGGGGGGGGCCCCAGAAGTCTGAAGACTGGGCCCTCGACCTTCGATCAGCGATCGGGAGGCGTCGGGAGGAAGGGGATTTGAGGAGGAGGAGGGGAGGGGGAGGAGGCGGGGGAGGAAGTGGGAAGAGGAGGAGCATGACCGGGGAGAGGGAGAGAAGGTGGTGGAGGAGGGGAGGAGGAGGAGGAGGAGGAGGAGGAGGAGGAGGAGGAGATGGTGCGGGGTGAGGGGGGGACGGGGAGGAGGAGGATGAGGAGGAGGAGGAGGGGAGGAGGAGGAGGAGGAGGAGGAGGAGGGAGGAGGGAGAAGGAGAGGAGGAGGGGAGGAGGAGGTGGAGGAAGAGGTAGGAGGAGGAAGCGCGATGAGGAGGAGGAGGAAGGAGGAGGAGGAGGAGGAGGAGGAGGAGGAGGAGGAGGGAGACAGGAGGGGGATCGAGGAGGATCGAGGAATCGAGGATCGGGGCGTGGGGGCGCGGGCGCAGGAGCCGCGGGGCCTGCAGGCTCCCGACGGGCACCCCCTCCTGCAGCAGCCGCTCGCCCGCGGAGCCTCTGAGGGGGCGGGGCGGGGGGCTTCGCCGCCTCCCCCGAGCCGAGCGCGGGCCTCTCGGGCTCGCCTCCCCTTCCGCCTCGTGAGTTCCGCCCGCCGCTTGGGCTCCACCCTCTGGCCGCTCGGCCTTCCTCCTCCACCCCCTCTGGCTTCGGCTGCGCCGTCGTGGCCCGACTCCGCCCATCCCCCTCCCTGATCCTCCTCCCCTGCGGGGAAGGAGAGGAATGGGGGGAGGGTCGGGGAGGACGGGGAGGACGAGGATGGCAAAATGTTCCTCCTCCTCCTCCTCCTCCTCCCTCCTCCTCCTCCTCCTCCTCCTCCTCCTCCTCCTCCTCCTCCTCTTATTATTATTATTAGTTGTGTTATGGTCAGTCTTGGTGTGCGTCTTCTTCTTAGTATTATTAATATGAGTTGTATTAGTATTATTATTAATACTTTTGTGAGTAGTATTCTTCTTAATATTATTACCAGTATGATTATTAGTAGTAGTCATGGTATTATTATTCTTCTTATGAGTAGTATAAGTGTTATTATTAATAGTAGTAGTATCAGCATGATTCTTAGTTTTATGAGTATTAGTAGTGCTCGCGTGGTTATGCTTAGTATTAGTATCAGTCGTCGTCGTATTAGTTTTCGTAGTAGCAGTAGTACTCTGTTTATGCGTGCCATATTAGACTTATTAGTACTAGTATTCGTCTCATTGTTCTTCGTAATACTAAGATTGTTCTTACTATTCGTAAGAGTAGTAGTGTTATTAGTATTATTGGTATTCATGTTAGTCTTCGCATGTGCCTTCTTACTCGTACTATTATTCTTCAGCTTATTAGTAGGATTAGCGTTCGTCTGATGTTTCTTATCATCATTATTCGCAGCATTCTTCTTATTATGAGTATATTTCTGTTTCTGAGTTCTCCTCCTCCTGCTCATCCGCCTCCTCCTCCTGCTCCTCCTCCTCCTCCTCCTCCTCCTCCTCCTCCTCCTCCTCCTCCCCCTCCCCCTCCCCTGCCCTCCGCCATTCCTCTTCCTTATTAAATAACTCCCCCCCCCCCCCCCCCCTGTCGCACCCCGAGACAAGTTTTAGGGTGGGTCGGGCGTTTCGCCTAAGACGTCCTCACCATCTCTGAACCTGAAGCTTTGAAAATAGCAACAGCTTTACACTTGGAGGGCGGTGGTTTTCAAAATGTGGCTCTCGCCTTAGCGCCGCTCACGCTGATTTTAAATACTGCAAGGGCTCCACATATTTAGGGCGACCCGTTTTCAAAACGTGGCTCTCGCCTTAGCGCCGCGAACATTCGTTATAGAAGTGTGCAAGAGTTTCACGGATTGAGGGCGGTCTATTTTCAACCTGTGGCTCTCGCCTTAGCGCCAGGCACACTCGTTTATAAACAAAAAATCGCAAGAGCTTCACGGACTCCCATTGCCGACGTACAGGAGATGATGTTGTGGAAGGACTCAGGATTACGAGGGCGCAACAGGTACGTTGATTCGCGGCGTTGAAAACCCAGGAACGGCGTTCCGACACGATTCCTGATCGGCAAGACGCACTAATCAGGTTAATCCGTGGCGTTAGACTCCCGAGAACAATGTTTTGGCACGCTTCAGAGTAGTCAAAGGGATGTCTTCCAACGAGGCAATTCCCTGCGTGGAAATGACCCGTTGTAGGGGCCTACGAAGACGGACCTTTGAGGGAGGGTCTATTCCAGCATCGTTGATGACTCTTGGGTTTACACTGGTCCTCCTCCTCCTCCTCCTCCTCCTCCTTCTCCTCCTCCTCCTCCTAGCCTCTTCCTCATTGCCCGCAGCCTCTTCCTCCTCCCCCCCTCTTCCACCTTCCCCCTACTCCTCCTCGTCGTCATCCTCCTCCTCCTCTCCCAGCCCCTCCTCTTCCTCCTCCTCATCCTCCTCCTACTCCTCCTCCACCTCCTCCTCCTGTCGAAAAAAAAAAAAAACGGAAGGTTCGTAGCGGCATGTAATGGCCCGGACTGGGCACGGGAGCACAGAAAACACCCCACTGGTCCCAGGGAATGGGTCGAGACTTCCACGGGTCCACGTTTTGAAACAGATGCAGGGTCCGCAACGGGTTTTTTGGAGAAGGGGGGGTCCAGACCCGCCCCCTCCCCGAAACAGAAACGAAACCCCCTTCGCACTGGCCTGTTGCAAGGGGGGAGTGGTGTCGAGAACCTCCCCAGAAACCCTGCCACCGTATCGGGAGGGGGGCGGCGGAGGGGACACGCCGTCTTCGTTTACTTGTACATGTATACATATATATAATATATGAATACACGTATGTGTGTATGTATGTATGTATGTATGTATGCATGTATGTATGCATACATGTGTGTATGCACGTATGTATGTCTGAACGTATGTGTGTATGTATGTACGTTTGGTTGTCTGGATGTATATACACATACTAACATGCACGCACAGACCTACCTGCCTACCCATCTACCTACCTACCTGCCTACCGACATACCTGCCGACTTACCTACTTACCTGCCTGCCCACCTACATGCATACATGCATATGCACATGCATGCACATCTGCATACACTCAAACTGCAAACAAACCTACAATCATGAATACAGGCATGCATACACATGCACGTGCATGTAAACACACAGTCATGCATGCATGCATGCATACATGCAGACATTCATACCTACATGCGTACATGTATACATACATGCATACCTGCCTGCCTGCATGTATGCATACCTACCGACCTACCGACTGGCCTATCTGCATACATGCATATATACATACGAACATGCATACATGCATACATACATGCATGCATGCATACACCCATACAAAGATATATTACATGGCATGACATTAATATTATTCTAAAAATGCACTCTATTACACTACATTACACTACTTGACATTACCTTACATTATAAGGCATGTACATTACATACGTACGTACATCTATACAGACATGCATATATACATGCATGCATACATACATACATACAAGCATACGTACGTGTATACATACAGATCTACATCCATGCATGCA